TTAGATCTCTGAGTTTTTACATTTCTGGGCGATTTGGAGCGATCTGGGTCCAGAAAGCCTAGGAATTTTATACAGAGTTGCGTGGGTGATTTGAAGGTTTGACTTGCTTCGTGCCTTAAGGGTGATTGATAGGAATTTGGGAAATTTTATACAGGATTTTTATATATGAGATGGAGAAATTCAGGTTTCGGTTTCGAACAACAAACTGATGATTTAGACTCCATCTAATTTTGTGTGGATTACATTATACTTGAACTTCATAAAAGTTGCCAATATTGAACAGAGGAAGTAATTGACGAACTAGAGAAAATACGTCACGAAGGATCTAGGAATATAAGAAGCAATCGTGTAGAAAATAACCTTAGGCAACGGAGAAGCCCGAGACATACTTGAGAATAAAATATTAATCTTGTCGCCCAAAAGTTAAGGTTAAAGGAGAAGCCATAATTACCAGTCAAGATTTAATCAGACATAAATTACTGCTTAAAAGGATTCCTATATTAAAAGCTCATTTTTTTTACGAACGACAAGCCCTATAGCATGTAGTACATAGTCGGAAAAGACACGGAATATTCGGATGGGATACTTGATTTCGTTCCATCCCTTTAGCTAGCAATTCTTTTCGCGTTCGCGATTAAATTACAATGTGCAATTATTTCGACTGCACCGAGAGTGTCCGTGGCTGAACATTTTTTCCATATAATAGCGCTGTCCATAAAAATTGCTGTCTGTGAAAAAGTGATCGATTAAATTTCAGCCGCAGGAAGCAACGGGGGTGAGAGCGAGAGAGAAAGAGCGCGAGCGAGAGAGAAATAGCCGGTCGCGTTTTCAACGCGCCAGCATTGATAGCACCCTTTTTACGCTCGAGTTTCATAAAACACGTCCGTAATATCGGAAAAAGTGGAACGTAGAGTGTAATAATAGCGCCGTTACTTCTAAGGGTCGCCCGTTAAAACAAAAACGATATTCTCCGACACTTTCTGGAGACACCAGCCTTCGCCTGGCCGAATTATCATATTTTCGGCTGTCGAAGTTTCGGGGACGAACTTCCCTCGCGCTGGCCAAGTAACTATAAAGTGTGCTAAAAACTACATTGGAGTTTGCAACTACTGGCCCTCCCTCTGGTTCCTCGCTATGGGAAAACAGCGACTCGAACTTCCGTCAGCCGGTCGTTTTCTGACGAAGTTCGTCGTCAAAATAGCTGCTCGAGACGATCGGTAACTTTCGCGTTCCGCCGCGACGCTGAAGCGTCACTACGTCATCCACGAAGCATCTAAATTTACGACTGGACGATGTGGGGAGGGTGGTCTGAACGATGTCAAAAAGGGTTGAATGGAGAAGACACGTTTTTTTAGTAACTTATGCGGTCGATGTTGAAGGTTTACCTTGATGTTATATGATTGATGTTGATGTTATAATGATTCGATGACGAGGAGTTTGTTAGGTTTTGATATTTGACTTTTGTCACAGAGGCACTCGTAGGAATTTTTATCTAATCGAATGAGTAGACAGGGGATGTTTATGCAAATTTACATTTTCACGGATACAGAAATGAAAGTATATTTTAGTTTCTAAACGGTACAACATGTATATTATTGTTGATATTTTATATACTTTTGCATTTATGAACATTCGCAGTCTACAAATGAGACTGTTCTTCTGTGCTCAAGAGCATCGATTTTCAAATTCAATCTTCGATTAATGTTGTATTCTCAAGTGTGCCCTCACGTTGTTTCGTTGTCTAAGAATTTTTTCTAGATGATTGCAAATTATATTCCTAGATCCTCCGTGACATATTTCGTCTAGCTCGTCGCCATATTAATCGAAATAAAACAGGAATTGTAATTCTTCTAACAGATGCACTCATAAAATTCCTGATCACGACTGCCCACTATGCCATTAAAAATAAGGACTCCGATAAAGGACCAGGTCTAAGAATACTCTCTCAAGTACATCGATCCACCCTCTCATTCAATCATGCCCACCTCGATCAAACTCTATCCAACGATCTCGAAAAGTTCGGAAACACGGCTAGCAAGAAGGAAGCACGGATAGCCGCCAGAATAAAGATCTCGATCCGAGGAGAATCTCCGCTGACGGAACAGATCTCTTGGACCCTTTGGCGCCGCGGCTGCTCGTACGAAATACTAAAACAGTCCTCAGGCAGGAAGTGGCGCTGCGGGAAGAAGAGAATCATGGGACGTCGAGCTCTCGAGTGCACGGTTCGCCGCGTTGGCAAACGTTGAAACTGAGATTCGGATTTTGATTCCTTGCCTCTGCTTTCGAAATCAGGCGACGTTCTTCCGGGTAATCCGGTTTCGGGATTTAATCGAGCCAGGACGATGTCTGGATATAAATTTGGGGGATGGAATCACGGCGGGATTATGGCAGAGGAAATATTTTGAAAAACATAGTACTGTGTTTCGTTTTGCCAAGACATCATTGAATTGTAATATAAAATTGAAAAGAACAGTCAGATTTAATGGCTTCTATTTCGTTGGCAATTCAAGCTAACATTATATTAGTTTGGGAAACAAATATATTTATTCTCTTCAACCGCCTAAATTATAATATATGCAGGGACATCTGTTTCGTTAGTAACTAAAATTATATTAGATTGAGCAATGTCTAGAAATATTTTTAATGTTTTCAACCCCCTAGATTATCGACGCAGAATTGTATTTCCTTTTAATTAATGTTCAAGTATTCTCTGTGCTTTAATGGTAGCAGAAATGATGGCAGTAGTCGCGATTTCTTCGTGGAGGCGAACAGCCAGAAGACGAACTGGGTTTTATGAGTGAAGTATGGTCCTCGAACGTTGCAACACACCCGCAGGGGGCTTTCTTCGCCCGTTGGTGGATTGGCCGGGTGCCAGAGTAGGGTGTCAGGAAGGTGTTGGTGAGAAGGCCTCGGCCGTCGTGATCCTGGATTAAGCAAACTTTTTTCGATCATCCTGGTGCATTTTTGCCAACTGTCTGCCTCTCTGACCGGGGTCGGGGGCGTTGGAATAATTTAGTAAGGTCGCAATTCTTCTAGTGGTATAATTCGTGGAGCCTCTTTGGGTGAGTGCGGATAGAATGGGTTTATTTAAAAGTTATAGTTACATTTAGACAGATTAACTCTTGGATTTCTTCATATAAATTATTTTTTAACAAATGTATAGGGTGTGACAACTAATGGTTGATTGAAATATTCTCTCGAGACTCTCATGATGCTTAACATGTAAAACATCGTTTTACACTTGTCCAAAAAATTCATAATTAAATGCTTTTGACCTTCTCGTTACTATTTTCGAACGTAATTTTTGATTGCGTATATTCAGACTAGTATTTCCTAAACTGTCTAGCTTCGCGTTCTCATAAATAATAGCCATCGCCACAGAAATTAAAAATTAAAAATATAGGTAAAAATTCTACACGATTCTCAAACGTATATTTCTTGTATTTCTTTTGTCTCGATGGTCTGGAATATCAGTGCCATCTGAACTGAAGTCGTTGAATGTGTGGGAGCAGTTGGCAGAATTCGTTACGGGGTCGAAGAAACGCCCAGAGCCTCGTTTATTCGGATAAAGGAGTGGGCGTGCGTGAACGTCGGGTAGAATCGACACGCGAATGGGTTGTACGGAATTGAAAGAGAACGATATTCCATGCACCGTTCCCGTGGAAGTATCATAAAAGTATTGGGTGTCTGTTTTATCGTCCACTTCCTCCCTTGTCGCAGAGAGAATCGAATAGAGTCAATACACCCTCGAGATGACGGATCAGTTGTCTCTCTCGGCTGTTCCCCAAAGAACTAGGGCGGCGCTCCATACCGGGTGAACAATAAAATGCCGTTATTCAGACACTACTAAACTTAGTAAGATTATAATAAAATCCATTGCAGGCGATTTAGTGAATTAATGAATTTTTTGGTGAGGTAACAAAATGTTCTTTATTCAGCTTAGTAATTTGTTAAGTTTATTATCATTTTAGTAACGAACTCAGTAATTTAATGTTGTTAATAAATTCATAAGAATGTATTATACGATCAAAATCGATTAGAAATAAATTAGTGAGCTGAATATTCTTGTACTCCGATACTGGTATTTACAGAATTTATTAATCTATCAAATTCTATCCAAAAAAAGTCACTCGTCCCTTTAATTAGGAGATGACTTCACATTTCTTACTAATCATACAGCCACTATGATTAGTTTTTAGGTGCCTCTAAATGAAAATACTAGTATCTGGAAGAAAAAAATTCGAATTGGTTCAGTCAGACTGGAAATAGAGTTAGGTTTTGTCATTCACCCGGTATGTGGCAAGGGTCCTCGATTGGAACTCCGTAGATAGAACTCGCCTTTTAGCTAGGTACATAAAACAACCGGGAGCACGTATGATGTATCCGCCCCGACCGCTGAGTAGATGATACTTTGCTTCGACGAGGGAGAACAACTTCTGGAAAAATGTTTCTCATTCCGGCAACAGGATAAGACTGGCAGAATGTGTGCTCGGGTAAACGCGAGGGTTCGCGATCGGTCCATCGGAGGGAATATTGTATTTATGGGAGGGCTAAATCATTCGCAGGCATCCTTCGCCATTTTCCTCCTTCTACTCTTTAGATACTTGTACGTAAAGGGAGAATTTTCAAGAATTCGATACACCGTTTCGTTTTACCACGAGTGAATTATAGTATAAGGCTGTGGAGGAAGTCTTTAAGGAAATTCGAGTTTAATAATAACTGCAGGGAGATGGACGCAACTTCAATTGTGTTGCTAATTCGAGCAGAGCTAAATTTATATTAGTTTACAGATCGCATACGTGTATAGCACTTTCGATCTCCTAGATTGTCTATTTAGGTACAGTAGGACGATGAAAACGAAAATACTTGAATTTAATCGTGACACATACCAACTGCGTAACAGGGTTCATTGATCCTCAGCCCCGAAAATGTATAGAATTTTAAGGCTTCCTACGTACCGTAAATCGAACTAACACTAATCGACCGATTTGTGTTCGCAGGTGGAGGAGGACTGGAAATACGTCGCGATGGTGCTCGACCGGATCTTCCTCTGGATATTCACAGTAGCCTGCGTGGTCGGCACGGTGTTGATCATCCTTCAGGCGCCGAGTCTCTACGACACGACGAAGCCGATCGACATCAAGTACAGCAAGATCGCGAAGAAGAAGATGATGCTGATGAACATGGGCCCCGAGGAGGACTAGTCGACGATCCCGCGCGGTCCTGCGCCGCGTTCGCAGCGGCAGCTGCCACCGCGTCGTCGTCGACGTCGTCGTCCGCGTCGTCGTCGTCGGCGTCGTCGTCGGCGTCGTCGTCGTCGTCGTCGCACGGCGGACCCCGCTCATCATCGAAACTGCCGATTTTCGCGTCGACGTGGAAGTGGACCCTCTCTCGATCGCTGCTGCCAAAGATGAGAGTCCATCGGAGGCTCGCTCTATGGAGAACCAAATGATTAACGAAATGGCGTAGAAACGAACTCAAGTTCAGAGTTGTGCTCTGGCCGAAAGAAACGAAGGATTCGTGTTATTCGTAACGGGTGGCTTGGTTCGTTCACACTCGACGAATCACGGTGTATCCGCGTGTATATCCGTGGCCGTGGATCTTTCCCTCTCCGAACTATATGATCAGAGATCCCACGTGGATCTCGATCCTCGAACTCTTCGAGAGAGGGTGGACGCCGCGCGGTAGAGAGAAAACGTGAGAATGTATGTTTTGTGTGTGCGTGCGTGTGAGTGAGAAACAGTGGCTGAACGGTGCGAATGGGAGCGAAAGTGGGGGGGAAGCCAGGCTGAATGAGAAAGAAGGGGTGGGCGTGGAAAGGGCAAGAGGGGGGAGAAAAAGTGCCAAATACGCGAAACACACGCGCAACGTATTTTTGTAAATCTGGTTTCATACGTAAGGCTAGAGTCGTGCGGCGAGACGTCGAACTGCCCGAACTGCCGATTTTATATAAGAAGACGTTTACACACGCATACACGAACAACAACGGAAACACCCGTACACCTATCTACAGCTGGTCACGTGAGTACTAGTACTACCTCGATTTCTGACTCGAAACAATTGATGTCCAGATAGAATGAAATGTTATGGACGTTCCTTGATGAACATACACTGGAATAACTGAGTTTTTGATACAGCCGGTCTTACAGGTGCCTGAGTGTGTCTCGTAAGCCAGGACTGATGGTGTTCAGAGACATTCTGGCTGGTGCAACTCCAAAAGGTGTCTTTGTGCTCCTTTACAGACCTTGTGATCATTATCGATCATTTAAGAGGTGCTGCGACTTTTATACCTAATATTTTCTTCACGATTAATTTACATTCCCATTTCTATTATTTTCCAAAATAATTTACGTCAGTTAAACTCAGTTACTATAGTGTACGTTTTCATCACCAAGGAGCCTAGAACATTCATCCCAAAAGGAGATACCAACAGTCCGAGGTCAGCAGTCACGGGCGCTCGAATACTTTCGCGACTCGCTGTTCGCGTACACATACACACATAAACACATAAACACATACCCGGTACGCATACGCGCAAATACGAACACGTAAAACATTTATACGTAATGAGAAGAGTAAAGGAAGAGACACACATACGCGCGCGCGTGCTCATCCCTTTGGTGTGCACGCGTGTACATATAGGTATATAGGAATTATACATCTATTACGTGCGTAGATATATACATTCGGACGATCTCAGCGTGTACGAACACGACGCGATATCTCATCCGCATTCTCGACACAATCGTCTAATACGCATGGTGCGCGCTCGCGCTCACGCCTGCCCGCCCCGCAGAGACGTGTGAAACTCGTTATCCAAACGTGACAACGATTAACCCGTTACTCGTTGATTAAAAAAGTTAGAGTTCGAACGATAGAATGTACCGTTAAACGAATTATCGAATTTTTCACAATGGATAAACGAAGAACGAGGCACGTTCGTTTGGGCTAAGAATCGCGATAAAGTGTTGCGCCCGTCTCTGCCGTGCAGGCACACGCCACACGCACAAACGAGCACACGGGGTATCGCTGGCTCGCGTGCACCAGCGACGAAGGAGGATTCCTCCATCGGAGAATCGCTTCCGGTGATGAAAGAAACGAGTCGAGCAGCGATTATTATGCCAGGAAGCGCGCTGATCGTTCGAGCATCCGAGTCGAAGGAGAACAGAAAGCAGAGAGCAGTAGACAAGAAAAGAGAGAGATCTTTGTTCCTCCAACGCGCGAGGATTCCCAGTTTCAGACCCATCGGTACCATTTGTTCTTCGTTCTTTTTTTTTCTTTTCCCGCAAATTTGTCATCGTCCAATATCGCGTTCGACTCGGTCGAGGAGCAATTATCAAGGCAAATCATTCGATCGAACGCACGTTTGCGGCGCTGGAATATTTAATCGCGAGTGAACAGGCGAGACGACGATCGATGGGTCGAGTTAATCGCTCGACGATTCGAATTTCGAACGCTACGCCTGCCAGCGACGACTCCTTCGTCGCGGGTGCTCGCGGCGAAACTGGTCCGAGACGAGGATTCGCGGAGCGTCGCAGAGAGGAAGAAAGATCGTTCCTGGGAATTGATTCGTCGACTGCTGATCCTCTGGAGATGAGACTCTTAGGTAGAAGTCAGCAGTCGGTGAGTCGAGTGGATTGTGGTACCATCCATAAGGAAAGCGAGGAGTTGAAGCAATTGTTGCGCAGTGTCAGCCCTGAAGACTTATCAAACAGTCCTCATCAATTCTATTTCCCTTCAGGGTTGATCTTTCTTTCCCCCTGCAATAGCTTGGTAACGACTGCCAGCGTTAGGAACAAAGGCTTCAAAATCGACACAGTCGGTTCTCGAAAGGGAAACCGAATCTGGGAGTTGGGAAGGGTCGAGAAAGGGAGTTATCCAAGTATCGGGGCCGTAGTATTGCAGGGAGTTTGAAAGATCAGTCCTGAATTAGCTCATTGGCTGGTGACCCTTTGGGGAATTAACATTTGAAATACATATGAGTCATCAGTCGATGAGTTTAAAGGACTGTATCATCGGTAAGCAACCTGTGGGTTCTGTTAACTAGTCATCCCATAGCCCCAACTGCACAGAAAGTTAAGCTGAACATCTGACCCAATGGGATACGCAGTTCCTCTCAGGTTCATTTCTTTCTCCCTGCAGTAGCTTGCAAACAACTGCCAGGTGGAGGGACGATGGCCCCCGAAGCGATCCAGCCAGGTCTCAGAAAATAGGATCACTGAATCCAGTGAGTAGGGGAAAGAATCCAGGACTAAGATCGACCTGAACATTAGCAGAATATGATGGGGAGGAAGGAACATCAGGACTGAGTTTGTTGTACACAAATTAAGACTCATAGTCTGATTTAGCCAGTCAGCTGTGATTGACGAGTATACTCGTCATGGAGAGATGACAGTATTTTGTGTCATAACGAGTATACTCGTCATGCATCAAATTTAGTCGCTATTGGTTATTTTAGAGTACGTTTAGATAAATTTTTCTTCCCTCCTATCAGCTGTTAACGGTCAACGGGCTCGAAACCGATTTCGGGGTTCTCGAAGAGGAGGGAACCGAGTCAATGAGGCTGGAAAGGGTTATAGGGGGGGCAAAGGATAATCCGCGAGAGGTTACGGGCGTGCGAAGACGCAGCGTTTGGGACGAGAATTGTTTCGTCGGTACGCTGAAAAGGCCAATCGTGACTCGGGCTTTCAGCTTTTCTTTCTTCTATCTTGATCGCCGTGATCGCGATAGAGCCTTCGAGACGGTCTAGTCGGCGACTGTGTTCTCTCAGGACGTTTTTGGTTCTATCTTAACAACGACAACGAGTCCTCTCGGAGCGCAGGAGATCTCCGTAATCGACTCCGTTCGCATTTCCATTAACTGTGTTCAATCTCTGGTGAGGTTCGTCGCGACCTTCTTAACCCCGAGGATCCTACGATCATCGTCGAGCAAAAAATAAAAGAACCGCTGCTAAAGTTTCCTTTCCATTTCGAGTCGATGGATGGGAGGCAGGAATGAGTCGGATCGCCAGAGTCAACCGAAGGACCATCGACTGCCATAACCCGCGATCATTCGTCGAGCAGACGTCGCGGAAGCCAAGCAACCGCTGCTTCCTTCCTGAATATCGTGGCTGACCCGTGCGGGTGAATCGAAACGGGAAGCCGCAGCCGGTAGGGTGTCTCGAGTCCTGTCTTCCAACCAAAACGCAATTACCCATCGACGGTTCTGGACCAGGAACCCTGCGAGGCTCGACCACCTTCGATTCGACGCGATCGTCTGCACGAAAAGATAACTAAAGAAGATGGAGAGATCAGACTCGAGACGGTACGAGGGCTGCTCGATATTGGAATTTTCCCAGGTGCCTCGAAGATCTTGACCACGGATGTAGATCCTGGAAGGTTCGGGAATCCTTCGTTTCTTCTGTCCTGAGATTTCAAGCAACAGGTCCAAGAAATTTTGTTAACGGAACCTTCAGCCTTGATTCCAGGTGTAGGATGAGTCAGAGGAACTGAACTCATTTCAAGCACTCGAGAAGTATCCCTTAAGACGCGATGCGTACCAGGTACACGCTTTGAACGAGTTCCACGCAGCCCATCCTACACGAGAACGCGGCTGGAGTCTCTTTCGAGTCTTTGTTTCGCGAATACGCTTGAATCTCTCGCGATTTACCCCGAGGACATCGACCAATGGGACTCGAGACTCAACGAAACGGCCAAACGCTTCGTCGAACATCGCTGGTCACGTGCGCACGCTAGATGGCGCGTGTGCGCGCGCGCCGACCGCCCACGCATCCACATAACACAGAGACATCGTTTATATACCGACAATGATGAGAGAAGGGGGTCATTGTGGGCGTCAGGGGGTGGGAAGTAGCCACCCCCCGATCCCCGCGAAGCGGTGTAATAATCAATTTATTTGCTCACGTAAAAGTAACGGTATAATATATTTAATATGTGCGTATAGGTATAACGGAGATTAATCACACGACAAACTAATCAATCGCACGACCGAGGACGATTCACTCGCCGTGATCTGTGGCGATGGTGGTGGTTGTTAATGGTGTGCGGGGACGTGTTTTATTACGCTGATCCACCGGACGCGGCTGTGCAAACACGGATCATCGTTGTGACGACAAGGAACCGTAGTTACGCGAACGAAGGGTTGGAAAGGTGAGAAAGTCTTCACTTGGTCGTCTGGTTTGGCGGAAACGCCGCTACGGATATTAACTTTTCTGCTTGGGAGGAGAAATTTCTGAAAATCAATATTAGGTATCTTAAATGTACGTGGTTAAATTTTTTAAGAAAATTTGGATTGGAAACGAAGAAAGAATTTTTTCGTACCTGC